CTGAATACTTTTAAATAATAAAAATAATCATAAGTTATAAAATTAAAACTTATTCATATCGCATTTTATCTTGTTTACAACTATTAACAAAATAATCTTACATTAAGAATCTGATTCAATAAGTATATATAATTATAATTATATAAATATTTGGTTTTTCACTTTAAAAATTTCTAATATTACTCTATAAAATTATATTCATAATAGAATTTTGGATAATATTTGAAGATATATTTTATATTCATAATTACTTTATATAATATTAATTATTATTTATAAAAATTAGACTAAAATAACAAAATTTTTTATATATAATAATTTAATCTCATCAAATCATCATATTTCTTTAAGTATTCTTTATATATTAAATAAATTTTCTTTGATGATCAAAGATTATATTTTATAAGTACTTGCTTAATATTTTTAGATTGATTTCTTAGTTTTTCAATCAAATAATGATCAGAAAATAATATTAATTATATATATTTTTTTCTATTTTCATTAATATATTAACTATTACATATCTTAGATTATATATTTTTAGAACTTAAATTTATTTTCATCATAATTAATATATTTGCTACTATAATATTATGATTAGTAAATTGATTAAAATAAAAAATACTAATATATTCAGGATATAATATTTCAAATATTAGTATTACTTAATACACAAGCTTTATTTATAAAAATAATTAGTTTTTAACTTAAAATCTGAAATATTTAACAAAAAAAAATTCAAATTTGATCTAATATATATTCTAATTTCTAATATTCATCTTCTTGAATAAAGTAAAGAACAAAAGATTCTTGATATTTAATATATAAATTGACTTGTAATTACTACTTGAATAGTCATAATAAATCATGATATAGATATAAAAAAGTTAAAATCATAATAAAATATTCTAAGTATTTCAAGTATAGGATATTTTCTTTTTTTTAAATTCAAATTCTCTATTAATTATTATTTAGATAGAAATGATATTTGTTATATATTACTTGAATAAATTTCTTTTTTTCTAACTCAAGTTAGAATTCTATTATAGTATCCAATATATTATTATCAAAATTCTTTATATTTTTCTTATACATAAATATTTATTTTAACTATTCTTTTTATATATCATCATATCAGATCACTTATATTTATCATAATAAATACTTTTTCTTTTCTTATTATATCTGTATTTTCAAGAATATATATAATTCTAATATATCTTCTCAGAGATGATATTTTTCTTGATATAATCTATTAATTTTAAAAAATAATATATTTTTAATATATATTTTTAAGTTTCTTGAAAAATATACTTTTGATTCTTGTTATCAGAGCTATACTTTATAATTTTTGATAAAATCTTTATCATTCAACAAATTCTTAAGTTTTATATACTTTTCTTGATAATAAATTTGAAGTATTCTGATTTATATAAAATAACTTCTTTACTTTTAAATATATATAGTCATATAATCTTCTTTATATTATATTATTTACATAATTTAACAATTAATATTTATTTTAAATTACTTATCTAATAATAATTATATGAATTGATAAATACTGAGAAAATATAAATAATCATATATAAAGATTTTATTATTTTTTTTTATAAATTTTCTTATTGAATATTATTAATTAAGTTCTTCTAAATAGATATATAATAAAGATAGGTGAGAATATTATATAAATAAAATAATTTACACAGACTAAAAAAATATATTAATTATTTTTATTTCTTTAATATATTCTTCATACTTTTTTTTTCTTTATCTTTTTTTTATAGTATCATTCTCAAGATTCTAATATATATGATTCTAAGATTACTTCTAGCATTATTATATTAGCTGAAAAATTTTTTCTCTTCAAATTCTTTTAAATCTCACTCTTCAAAAACTTCTTGAATATTGATAACTATTTTTATAATATCTCTTTCATCAAAAAAGTTAGTGATATTAGTAACTATTCTTGTAATAATTTAATATTTCTTATCATAAATATCAATAATTCTTTCTGTAATAAATTGATATTTCTTTTAAAAGATACTTTCTTGATAAATTACTTATCTATTTTTATCACTTTGTATAAGATAATATTCTTGCAGTTTGTGATTAATCTCACATGATTCTAAATTAATAAGAAAATAATCTATTTATAAATACTAATCAAATTAGTATAGTTCTCAATCACTACTCACATAAAATAATTTATTAATCAATAAAATATTATAGTTAATAAAATTTGTTAAAATTGATTAATTAAATAATAGTTATATAATAAAATTTATTTCAATTTCTGGATTAAATATAATAAAATACTTAAAATACAGAAATTTAAATTATTATAACTTTTTATATTAAAGTTATTTAAAAATTCTGACTAGTAGTTTGAAAGAGCTTATTTCAAAGAATAATATTACTGATTTATTTTTTTTAAAATCTATTTTTACAAAACTATGATAAATTTAAAGATATCCTATTTTATTTTTAAGTTAAGACTTTGGTATCATAATTGTAATATATATACTAATAATACTTAATAATTTTCCAGATAAATATAAAAAATAATAAATAATTATCTTTATATAATAATAAAATACTAGATAATTTATCTTATATTATAATATTTATAAATATTGATAATATAATAAAATTAAAAAATATTAAATAAATTCTTTAATTATATAACTTATGAATTAGTAACTTAATTAAATAATTTATATATAAAATAAATATCAAATTCTAAAAAATTAATATATTATATAATATATATTTTTTTAATATAATATAATTTTATAATTCAAAAAAAAAGTTATTAAAATATATAATTACATATATATTTTATCCTAAGTTTCACTATAAGTTAAACTTTATTGAATTATTTTGAAGTGAGATAAAATGATATTATTATTAATATTATGATTATACTTTCAAAGATTTTAAGTAAATAATTTTAAATATACTTGATTCAGTTAATCTTATTAAAATTTGATGCTTTATCTATCATATTAACTATTATATAAGTACATATGAGCTTGATCTCTCTGGAAAAGAAATATCATTCACACTACCAAGTATCTGAAAATGTTTTAATCAAGTTTGATAACTTGTAATTATATATCACATGATTTTAATTACTGAAATTTTAAAAAATTTCTTAATAAATATATTAAAAAATACACTATTTTGAATTGCTACTGCTTTATAAATTGACATTTAAATAAAATAAGCTTTTTATTATTTGATTGTTCATTTCAAAAGCTATCAAATAATGCATTTTTTTACAATTACCATTTAATAAATATGAGCCTTAGGATTTTAAAGTATTGGTCGTGACTAAGCAATGTGCACCATAACCATGGCAAAAAATAATCGTATCATGTGTATCCTAATCCGTCGTATATTTATATAACTCGAGCGAATATCGAAGAGATGTTCCGGGTCAAAGAAAATTAAAATAATAAAAACATCAGCCGTATAATTTGTTAGAAGATATAAAAGAATGATGAAATCTAGTCTTTATTTCATTATAACATTAATTCATATCCAATCATTATTTGATATCAAATTTATCTTTCAATCAATAATTTATTCCGATTATATTAGCTCTCTTCTGAGGAATCTTCGTCAAGGATGTCATCTATCTCTTTATGTAGATTTGCCAGAGCGGTTGCCTTACTTGATCTATTCAAATAATAAATATTAGTAATGTGTGTTAATAAATAAAATTTTCAATTAGCAAACTTATTTACCGGGCTCGACTAGTACGGATTGGTATATCAATTGAAGAGTAATCATCATCTAAAAATAATTTATTATTATTATATTATACTTAATGCAAATGAATTAATAAAAATATGGTTAAATGCAAACCGTCTTCAATATCCTCTACGAACGCTTTAATTTCATCTAATTGCGCAATTTCGTCATCATCTAGCGCTTCTGACGAGTCATCAAAATATCGAAGCAGCGAATTTTCAAATTTGTTGACTGCGTTTTTAGCTATCGCGTCTTTCAAAGGTCTTCGCTAAATGAGGATTATTAACAACATAATAAAACACATGATACGCGTGCATTGTATTTAATGTTAATTCCTCGCAACTTCATTAATCTCAATTGCTTGGCGCGAATAAAATTAGATACCTGTTTTAAATTGCCAGTGAGGAATGCAAGCTTTTTTAATCGCAAAATATTAGCATTTTCATCAATATGAATTTTAAGGAGTATCTGACATAGCAATTTGCGTGTCTCCCCTATTAACCAGAAAAAACAAAATATTTCAGTTATTTAATGCTAAATAAGGTATAAAAGCCAAGTCATATCTATAATAAATACTATTTTGTTCCAAGAATAATTCTTTTAATATGTCAATTGCAATTTCAGCCTGGAGACCATAATCAATGTCTTCTTGATTAGTTTCGGATTTTCTAAATTTGTAAAATAAAACATTAAACGTCATTTCTCTTTTATAAAGTTAAAATACTAAATTCACATAACAAAAACATACACGATTTGATTGGGATTTGTCCAATCGATCAATTGCTGGGCTATTTGTATAGGTGATGTCATCTCTTTATTTTTATTCTTATTCATGTGAATTCGATTCAGCTTCATAAACGCAGGAACAAATATCTTTGAGGAGAAAATTAGTTAAAAATAAAGATTATTTAATGAGCTTAAATAAATAATTACTAAGAAAATTATAAACTAATACCTGTTGCATAACTTTTTGGTTCTTGTGAGAAGAATGACAATATACAGGTAAAAAGTAACTTAAACACTGTCTTAGACGAAGGTTTTCAATAGTTTCACTATTAAAGTATAACACGACTAATTTTTGAAGGATCTAATGAAAGGATTTTTATTAGGATACAAATTCATGACTGATTGAAAATACGCGAACTAATTTTTGTCGAACCAACCTCATTATCTTGTATAACTTTAGATAACATTAATTTGGCTACACCTTCAACTGCAACAGCCTGAACTTCTGGCGTCTCATCATTCAAAGACAAATTAATCAAATTTTGAATTTGCTCGGACTTTTTTTATTAATAATCAATTTTTGTCAGCAACATATTTAAAAAGAAATAAATCAAAGGTGATAAAATAAATATTATCAAACTTTACATGTCCCATATTTGTGTAGCCGAATGCCATCAAAATATCGAAAATAACCTAAATTCAAAATATCTTTGATTAATTGTAGCAATATTAATCGGAATAAAACAACTAATAATTTACCATCAATGACTTGGCTTTTAGTGATTCATTTCCGTGTTTGGCACAATGTATGAACAACAGCAAGTTTTCTCGAGCTAATGTCTAACAATAAACAACACTAATTAAATGATTTCAGTGATATCTTAATGAAATTATGAATATATACTTGATCGAGCAAACAACTTAAGCCTAAACACTGAACACCCATTTCACGGATCAATGGCTCATGAGATTGTACACTTGGCGCAACAAGATCGTTTAATAAACCATATACAGATGGATTATCACGCAAGCTCTAAAATTAATAAAAATTTCATGAAATAGAAACGTAATAGCTGAAATTGTTAATTATTAAAAACAAACCTCCGAATTTATTTCAAGCATACACCGCACTATTTGAAGACACTTCAAGTCTACTAACATTGCTTTCGATGGATCTTTTTCGTCATCATCATCCGAAAAAACAGGGGAAACGGGCCTTTCTTGAGAAATTTCACGACCAGGAGATCTCAAGGCTTTGATTGTAGACGGATTAATACTAATGTGTGACATGTTAACAGTAAGTTCATCCTCAGTCTAAATTATAAATTCATTTTCGATATTAATGTTATTATGTGTAATTACGATAAAAATTGCGATTAAAGTACCTGAGCTGCCTTTCGATAGGATATCTCATCATAACTTTCACGAAGATCCGAAATAATTTCGATCATCGATCTAAATATAAAAGTTATATGAATTAAATTTGTGGATAGGTGCGACTATACTCGAACATTAATTTGACAAACCGTGTGAAGTCTTTTTCATTAATAGTTGTCTTTTTCATAACTCCCATAATTAGTTCAATATGATCATCAGAAATTTGAGGAAGCATCAACATTTCACCTAAACATAACCCACATGAATTATATAATTATCATAAATGTTCAATTAAATCATTTCTTACGTAATAGAGTAAACATTTTTCGTCTTCCAACTTCATCGCTATAGTCTAATATCCCTGCGATAATCAACAACTGCCCTACAATAAATTCATAATTTACTTGATCTTCCTCCAAAGAATCATTAATACAATTATTGTATTTTTGTATGTAAAATGCAAGTCGCGTCACTTCAGGCATTATATCATCAAATCTCCCATTATCCTGTTAATATTGAATAGTTAGATTTATATCATAATAATTCACGCATAGAAAAAAAATAATTGAATGACCTCTTTACAAAATTCACCAAAAACCCGCACAAGAAATGCCTTTTCAACAGTCAAATCATCCCAAAATGAATCTAAAAAATATTCTCGCGTTGATCATAATTTTCATTATAGAATACTTAAAAAACTTAAATTCACCATTGAATTGTAAAGATTCTGTTAAGTCTTCACGTGCTGCGAAAAATGCCAATAAAGCTTCTTTGGCAATGCTGCTACTGACAACATCTAATCTTTCCAGAAACTATTTTAATCGAGATAAATGTATTAATTTTGAATATCAATATGCGTCGATATGGATGATAAGAATAATATACCTCTAGCAAATTATTATCTGCCTGTTCGATCCAAACTGTTGAAAGCATTTTAATGCAAGCCTGTTTAACAGCAGGATCTCTGAAAAGACATTAGAAAAAAATGTTAAAACACATTGATTAGAGCCACTATCTCGTCAAATAATGATTCAACCTATCAGTAAGTCCCCAATGTAAAAGTTTTTCGCGATCTTCTATTTTCAAAATACGAAAATCTCCAATGTCTTCCATAACTTTTGCAAACACGTTTTTGCGAATAACCTGGTCAATATCTCGCGCACGTTCCAAGGCAAATGGTATAGTTCTTTCATAGTAATTTATATGAAGCAAGGCGGCACGTCGTACTTCACTATTTAATAGAATTTTGTATTAAAAATTGTTCAATGATCAAATAAAATAGTTTATTCTTAAGTTAATATGGTGACTCACGGGCTTGGATCATATTGCAATGCGTTGAGCATTTTATCTGTCACTTCTTGTTCACTATCACTCTAAGTAATATTAAATAAAATTTCATAACTTTATCGCCGATAATTTATTAGGACTTGAAATATATATCTCGTCGTATTATACCTGAAATTTGGATAATGCAATTACTGCTTGTGCGCGTATTGTTACTTCTTTATCACGCACGCGCTCAATTAACTTCTTTTTTAATTTTTCAAATAAACCTTCACTGGAATTGAAGAAGAATTAACAGAATTGGCAAATTAAATCTTTTTAGATAGATGTTTGTAAAAATTTTACCTAATCACATCAATGGCTTTTGGGCCAAAAAGAACAATCAATTGACAAACGCGAAGCCTTAGATTCTTGTCTTTTGCATCAATGCCTTTTATAATATGTCCAATTATGGATTCAACGAATCTCGAAGATATTGTATCACATATATCAGGCTCTTGATCTTTCTCTGATTCTTTATTATCCTTTGCAGCTTCAATTTCTTTATCAAAAATCAATTACACCTTAATTAAAGAAACGAAATAAAATAATAAACCAAAAAATAAATATTAACCTTTTTCCAATGTAAATTGCACAAATGACCCAACGAATTTTATGACTTTATCAGTGCACGGGTCTTTCTTTTTGAAGGCTAGTAGTTTATTCAAATTTCGTATAAATTCTTGGTTGAATGCTTGTTCACCATTTTCTTTTGTCAAAGAAGCGCGAATGCGTTTAGTTTTTTCAGCAATTGACGTGGCGGCACTACGAGAGGAACCTTCACCGTTTCCAGATATTTGAACAGAATCAGCAGCAGCACACTGTTCTTGTATTTTACGTAAGGTAGCTACATTTTTACGGTGATTGGCGGTTGACTTCTGGCAGTCTTGAAACACTTGAGGTATCGTAGTCGATAGGTTGCGAAGGGAATTTTTATTGGCAGGCATTTTTTTGTAGAAGTTTACCACTAAAGTTCGTAAAGTTAATAAATATCGACGCGTTTAGACGCGGTTCATGACGATCATCACATGAAAAGTAGAATCTGTGTCACATGATAATTAACCAATAAGAATCCGCAAATCAATATTGAATTGATCATAAGAGTTTAGGTTGGATTTGTTTTGATCATAAATTCGCACATCGCGAATGTGACAATAGACATCCCTTAACGTTAAGGTTATACAATTATCTTATATTTTTTCATTGAACGTGAAATAAAGCGGATTATTAAAAATATATTGTTCTATTTCATTAAAACATCATCGCATCTTTTACAAAGTTCATTTACATTGATTGCTAGGTAATTCCAACATCGAGGACATTTGTTCAATGTTGCTTTCTTTACTAAAACATCACATTCAGTGTCGTTAGCTATTTTAATTCTTTTTTGATATTGACGATTTTCCTGCGAATTATTGGAATTGACCATATCCGAGTGTTGTGAACTATTTAATAATTTTGCATAGGATGTGATGAAAAATGACGGCAGATCGAATTCTATATATTTTTTAAAAGTTTAATATAAATTATCAAGCTTGTTGAAAAAATAGCACAAGATAAAGTCACCTTGATTTCTCAGTAACTTGTTCAACACCGAATCCTCGTCGATGACACGCAAGTAAACGTTTGCTTCTAAAGAGCTTTTAATCATTCTTAAAAATAAATTAAATTAAATTGTTATATATATAAATTTGAAGTAAAAACTAAAATATTATGTTCATATAGCACTACTTGTCTTGTCTAGCCATTTCTAACAAATAGTTAACTTCACTTCGTAGATCCTTTAAAATTTCAAATTCACTTGCAATTGAGGGATTATTCCATTCTTTTTCCTAAAGTAATAAAGAGATAAACCTTATAAGAACCAATAGAATTGATAAGCTTTCCATAGAAATATATTAAATTACCAAATGATACCAGCCAAGTTGAAAAACGCTATTATGTGGAATAGACCCAATGATTTTGTAGTTTTCATAAATCTCTTCGGCAAGATGTGGCACAATAGGTGCAAGCGATAACGTATACACATTTAAAATCTTATTGAAAAATTCAATATAACTACGTGTAAAAAAATACCCTATTAATTGATCCGAACGAATTTAAAATTTTCTTACTTGATAAAGAACTGTTTGTACAGCTCGCCGGCTCAAGCTACCGGCGTGATCTGCGTATAATCGATCCTTCACAATTTCGAAATAAAATGCGGACAAGTTGGCATTCGTAAAATTATTAAGCGCTTGAACAACTACAATACACAGAATCAGAATTAAAAAACATGTAAGATATTTAATATAGAAATTTTAGAAATTTAAACATACTATGGCTTATTGAAAATTCTGCATATGCTTGATTAACTTGTTCACCGAAATGGTATAATTGATGTTGCAAGTAACGATCAATCTATATAAATGGCAAATCATTTTAACAATAAATTTAACAATTAAATGAGAAAGTAATATTATTTTAACTCACCGGTTTTAACGATTCAGTTTCCACTTGATCTTTATAATTAAAGTCATTCAAATTTCCAAGCATGAAACGCGCCGTATTACGATATTTACGCATATTATCAATCACTTGACCTATAAGAATTCTTTAATTTGAAATTATTATTATGAGCACCAAGCAAATCTCTAACACTCACTCAAAAATGTTTTTCCAATATTTACGTCCTTTGTGTATTCAGATGACGCGACCAAAAGTCTCAATATATCTGTGCCATACGGAGGATGTGTTTGCCGGTTCTATATAAATAGAAATAAGTATAACAATATATATCTATCAATATACTAATGAATATGATTTCACCTTTCCACCTTGCGTGATTGTTTTAGGTTCCACCACGTTCCCTAAAGACTTTGACATTTTTCGTCCTTTCTCATCCAAGATAAATCCGTGGGTGATTATTGTTGAATAAGGTGGTTTATCAGAAACCGCGACTTTTATTAAACAACATGGATAATTATATTATATCTGTCAAGGAATTCATTTACGCATGAGTGATAATTCAATTGTTTAAAAATTACTTGATGTTAATAGAGATGATTGAAACCATCCACGATGTTGGTCGCTTCCCTCCAAGTATAAGTCGGCTACGGGTTCATTTCCAGATCTATTTAATATATTATGACGGATAAGAGCAAATTTAAACTTTCAAAATATTATTGCTACAAAAATACCTTTTAAACATTTCTTCAATTAGAGTCCAAGATACACCACTATCAAACCATACATCCATAGTATCAATGCCGCGCTTATATGTTATACCTTATAATCAAAGAAAATAAGATTACCACGCAAAAATTTCTAAAAATGATTTTTTTTTTACCATTGTCGCGGTATTCAGGTGCAACTAATTCCTGTTCATCAGACGTCCACCATCCATCAGATCCGTGCATTTTAATGATTTCAATGATATGTTGCACCGAACTATCAGTCAACAATGCAACATCGGTTTCTGATTCATACAAGACGGGAATAGGAACACCCCATGAACGTTGTCGGGAAATGCACCATTCATTCCGAGATTTAATAAAACTCTCGAGACGATGAAGCGCTAAATACCAAAAGTCAATGCAAGTAAAATATTAGATAATCAATCCAGTGTGAAAATATTGATAAATAATATAATTACCGCTCTCGGGATACATTTTTACATTAGCCAATGACATTATAGCTTTTTGTTGTATATCTTTGACATTGGCAAACCATTGCGATGTAGCTCTGTTTTTTTTTCGAGGGAGATAAGAAAATAATAGATTTTTTTAATACTAATGAATTCAAAATTTCCTACCTCAAAATTATCGGTTTCTTTGTTCTCCAATCATAAGGATATTTATGAGTGTATTTTTGTTCTTTTAATAATATATTGTTTGCATTTAAATATTCAATGACAGCTGTGGTTCCTTCTGTTAGCACAGCTTTACCCTCGAAAGACGATTCTCCAACTTCAGAGGTAAATCTTCCAAAATCATCAACCGGACAAAATGTAGCTAAATTCAATTCTCTGCAAGCTTCATAATCATCCATTCCATGCCCGGGAGCGATGTGAACCAAACCTTGTAGAAATAATTACAGTAAAAAAAAACTTAATTGAATACCGGGACATTAAGATTCAAAGTTGGCAGTAAGGGGGTGGACTGCCCGACTTGTTACCTTGTGATGATTCAGTCACTCACCAGTACCCGATTCTGAGGTTACATGGGAAGCTGCAATTATATTATGCAGGTTTTTGGTTATTGGGTGTTTGTATTCGGTTCCGATCAATGCCGAGCCTATTTTAAGATCAGTTAGACGCAACATTCAGAGCAATATCATGAAAAATCATAAATACCTGGAAACTCCGCGATAAAATCAAAACTTTCGAAACCGAGAATCTGTTGCAATGTATTCAATCTCTCTTTAGCAACAATACAATATTCTTTATTCGATGTAAAGTCAACTTTAACAATCGAATATATAATTTTGGGATTTATTGCAACTGCCTGCGAAATAAAAAAATCTTTCAATTAATTCTTAATGAGTTTGATGATTCCTTATGTAAATGCTTGTTTTAAATAATACCTGATTAGCAGGAAGTGTCCATGGTGTTGTAGTCCATATTAATGCAAAAATTGAATTATTTTCAGGAATAATTCCTGATAAACTCGTTGCTAACAATTAATAAAGAAAATCATTTTATTTGATTAAAAGAATGATAAAAACTCCAGATAAACATAATATACTTGATATGTACAAAATTTGTCCACAGGAAATTTCACATAAACAGAGCGACTTTCATGATCATCGCGATATTCTAATTCTGCTTCAGCCAAAGCCGTTCTATCAAGAAATCCCTCAGGTTAATAAATTTGATGACGTCACGCGTTTATCACGTGAGATTGATAGTTGACTTTTACCTCGACGACGGAGACCAATACACAGGCTTATTTTGTCTATAAATATAACCTTAAGTATGAGATGAGAGAATAACTAATTAGTAGTTATCTTTCTGTTGAATAAAACTAAACGAATCTTTAAATAATATAACACGTACCTTTTTTTACCATTGCGTGAAATACTTTTAACTGACGTACTTCATACTCTTTATCTGAAAACGAATTAATTTTTTTTTAATTAGCAATACAAAAAGAAAATAAAAATTATTAATATCTTCAGAAAAAATAGTAACCTAATGTCCTGTAAGTGTTATCCCAATCGCCAATAATACCCCAACTCATAAAATCTTGTCTCTGCGTTTCGATTGCTTTCAACGCGCACTCACGCGCAATCTTTCTTATTTCCATAGGTGATAAAACAGTACCGTCTGCCTATTTGTTATAATAAATAAATCATCAATTATAAAATTAGATTTAGCAGTGACATTGAAATAATACACGAACTTTGAGCTCTGAAAGCGCCTTCAATTCAATTGGTAGTCCATGACAGTCCCACCCTGGGATATAACTAATGAATATTTCGAAATCAAAATAAGAAACGCGTGGATTCAAGATTTTCGTAAAATAAGACAAGTCATATTTTCTTTTTGTCTTCGTCATGAAAACAGCACATACTTTACTTTATACCCCTGAAGAATTTTATAGCGATTTATGATGTCTTTTAAGATTTTATTGAAAGCATGTCCTATATAATTATTTTAATAAATAATTAAATACGTACATAAATAGATATATAGAACAAATTTTTAGAAATCAATCTTAACCTATATGCAAGTTTCCATTCGCATACGGTGGACCATCGTGTAGTATAAATAACTCTTTTGGATTGTGTTCTAGCTATTACCAAATAAATCATAACACAATTCAAACCATTTTCATCAATTTCTATGTATACTTATACGTAAATATGCAAAGAAAATCTAAGGCTTGTGACCTGCCATAGGTATAAATCTTCAGTGCATCGTTTTCTAAAAGTAATTTCGCGTTTTGCAGCATCCGCTCGAAGCGGAAAATTTGTTTTAGGTAAGAGTAAAGTATCACTATACGCCTTACTCGCAGCTTCATTAGATTTTACTTTAGATTCTGTTGCCAGCCTTGCCACAGAAGTAGCTATTGTACGGTGCCCAAACGCAAACGTACTTAATTTAGATCTAGGATTTACTATATGAAAACGCCGAATATATAATATGCTTCGCATATAGACAGACATTTGGTTATAATAAATTGACGAAAACCAAGCAAGAAATAGATTTTGGTTTCGATCCGAGTAACCAAAGATCCGGATTTTTTTCAGGATCAAGCTCGAAACCTACATACAGTGACTCTATCTGGGTTAGGCACTGCTCTTTCGTTTGAGTATTTTGTTTTAAATAACTGTTTTGCTCTTTATGTTTTTATTTTATTTGCTGGTAGGAGAATATTTATTTTGCTAATACGCAATATCAATAAATTCTTGCGCGTCGTTGCATAATCCACCCAAGAAACTGGATATAAACCAAATCTCTGAGTAATGTAGCATAATTAATGCATGTTTTCATCAATCAGGAATATATTTACCAATTTTTTATTCGGTTCTTATCGCCGTTTTTCGCCCCGTAAAAACTTTATTAATATGAGTAGTAACAGCGTCTTAGAGTCTAAAAATATAGAAGAGGAAAGCACAGAAAGTAACTCGAACATAGAAGATAAATTCAATGTTATTACTGAAGGAAAAGCTAGTATACTGTTTCCGAAATCAAATGAAGTATTTTACAACCCAGTTCAAGAATTCAATCGTGATTTGTCAATTGCGGTGATACGCACCTGGAGCGAAATTCTCCGTGAAGAACGAGAAGAAAAAGCCAAAAAACAATCCCAAAGGCAAACGCAACTAACCGGTGAAAGTTCAAACGTTGGAACTACCAATGCTGGTAAGAGCCTTTTAGCAGCTCTTATTAAAGCAGTATAAGTCTAAACTGTTTTAATAGAAGCACTTTATAATTCTTCATTCAAGCCGCAAGCAAAGTGGAAGTAAGAGCGCATATTTTAGTTATATTAATTCACAAAAATACCATCTTTCTTCTTATTATAATTGATATTGATCTTGTGCTTTACGCAAACAATAGTCGAAATTTTCATATACAATTCTTGAAGCGTTAGCAGCAAGTGGTTTACGTTCGATTCGCTACGCAAAAGAATTGCCAAATCTAAAATATGTAGTCGCCAATGATTTAGATCTAGAAGCGGTGAATTCAATCAAGAGAAGTGTACAATATAATGGGCTCAGTGATGACTTAGTGCGGACAAGTCAAGGAGATGCTAGGTGATTTGTAAAGTTGTTGAAATTTGCAATTAGAGATCGTTGCTGTATTTATAAAATTATGTTTTCTTATTTAATAAAGTGATATTATGTATCAACACCGGAATCCATTGAATCAATTTGACGCAATTGACATTGACCCATATGGGACCGCGGCCCCCTTTTTAGATGCTGCTGTACAATCTGTTAAAGATGGAGGTAGGAACCTGAAATTTTGACCAAAATTTTATTATATAAATACAAAAAAATTTTATTATACGGTAGTGAATTATTAGGTCTGCTATGCGTTACTTGTACTGATGCGGCTGTACTGTGCGGATCTAATTATCCAGAAAAATGGTAAGGCGATTAAATAAATTTTGAAATTTTTTAATATCAAATTAATCAGACATTTTATAAAAGTTACGCAAATTATGGTGCAATACCTGTGAAAGGAGATTTTTGTCATGAAATGGTGTGTATTCAAAGTTTTGTCACAAATGTATTCCTAATTTGATTTCGTTTAATATCATTTTCTAAATTACAAACAAATAAAGGCACTTCGGATATTACTCCATACTTTAGCCACATCAGCATCTCGTTATCGACGATATATTCATCCTCTTATTACTCTCAGTATTGATTTTTACATTCGAGTATTTGTGAGGGTTTTTAGCTCTCCGATCCAGGTGAAAACGATTCCATGGTTAGTTCCAAACTAAATCGATTTTGTGAAGTAGCAAAAAAGATTCATCCAAAATATTTGTGACAGCAAAACGTCGCTTTTATACGTCTGCTCTGGATGTCACATATTTTATCTTCATCCTCTCGCCAAAAAGACCGAAAAAGGAACCTTTGCTCCGATGACGGGTCCACCCGTAAACTCTCTTTGTCATTTTTGCGGGAACAAGTTCCATGTAAAGAATCTTTGTATTTTTGATCTTTTCCTTTATTTGTTATCTTCATATGTTATGCTTTTGTATAGACTGGGGGCCCGATGTGGGGATATATATTACACGATAAAGAATTTGTCCGTCGGATTTTGGAACATGTCAAGGAGTCTAATACCGAAAATTATAAGACTCATCCTCGCATGTTGGGTATGCTTACAGTTGTGTCTGAGGTAATTCGAAAGCAAAGATTATTTTTTTATTATAATGTAAAAATTTATTAAATTTTTTAAATAGGAGATAGATTCGCCTTTCTATTACATTTTATCATCCCTTGCGGCAACTGTACACTCTACCAATCCATCTTTAAAACAATTTTGGTAAATATAATCCTTTAATACGAAATCAAGCACTTATTCTTATTTGCTTATGAAAAAGATAATATATTTGAAGTTCGGCGATTTTGAATAAAGGCTATAAGTTTTCTGCATCGCATGCGGCTGCTGGCTCGTTAAAAACTGATGCACCACCAGAAGTGATTTGGGATATTGTTCGTTCATGGGTGAGTCAGAAATTGTTTTTTTATCTCACTTTCAATTTCAAATAAATCTAATTTTATTTATTACTTAGGTTAAATTACATCCAGTCAATTACAACAATATCGCTGCAAATGCTCCAGGAAGAAAGATACTGGGCAATCCACCTAGGTGCGCATCATTTTCTTTTTAATACAAGAAAAAACAAACAAATTCTAATTGTTCCGATTTTTTATAGTTTCGAGGCTGATTTTACTTTTCACAAAGATGCAGATCCCCCATCAAGGAAGATTAAGTTGATGCGATTTCAAATGAATCCACAGAAAAATTGGGGCCCGAAAGCTAGAGCGTCCTCGAAAAGAGCAAAAACGTAGGTATTATGTGATTGTTAATGATCATTCACGTTATTTAAAAGTCATTTGATATTATTCCTTCGTTAAAGTAATGATGAGGATGATCATCATCAAGAAACAACAGACAAAACACCTCCAACAAAGAAAATTGTCAAAGAAACACGTGATTAAGCGATTATAGGTACGAGACTATTAATAAAATATTTTGACCAAGTTGGTTTTTCAAGGCAGGTTTACTATAACTGTTCGGATTGCCTATGCAATGTCATGCCAATAAAAAATTAATTTTTATTGTTATCAAAAATGTCGAAATTTTCATGAAAATTGACTTTCTGAATTGTTTAAAAATTGGTTGAAATATTTAAAATGAAGTGATCGTCTTTACATGAAATGCGATCCTTTGTTAAATGAAATAATTTACAAAAATATGAGGTGAAAATATACATGAAAGTTAAGCATTAAGAAAGATCTCATACAACTCAAACATCAATCTTTACTACATGACTGGCTCTCTCTTGCTCAAAACATACAACATATCATCATCTCGAAGAATTACGCTAGCTTTAGGACACGTATACACGTATTTTAGTTCCTTCAGATCGCCCGAAGAAGATCTTGCTGTTCGTGTACGATATAAACCTAACGGCACCGCTTTCTTCTCCACAAGCATGTCCCTAAACAGTACGCAATACTTGGCGCCAACGTATGCTTGTGGCATGGGTATTTGGAATACATGTGAATGAGCTGGTGCTGGACATTTTGTACCAGAAGGTAGTTGTAATGGTGGTGCGCCGAATAACATTTGATGAATTATTGACACTATATGTGGCTGGTAATACGATTGACAAATTATACTATCTAGCATGGATAATGAGAAGCAAGTTCCTGCCATAAACGCGGGTGAATGATGTGCTGTAACGTAAAGAGAAGAAAGAGAACGTTAATGCTGAGAAAGACTTGTTTATACACGAAAAAGTATTTCGTAAATACCCTGCATCTCTTTATCTATAGCTGCGGTATCTTCAGACATGAATTTCATATTATCTGTATAAACAAATTCCACAAATACTTGAATATCGCACATAGCTTTGATATTCAAAAAGACTAACATTGCAGGTGCATCTTCCGTTTTTTCACCATTCCTAAGCAGATAATTATTGTTTTTAATAATAACATAAAATTATATGCAGCGATTTTAAAACAAATACCTTAATATTCTTGAGGCATCTGTTAAGATGACCTATTACGTCAAATCATTGATAATATCGATGAATATAACAATGTTTCAATTAAACCTGATTGCATAAATAAATTGATGCTTACTGCTTGTTTAGCGCGAGTAACTCTGCCACATTCCAGACCTTCTCTCGTCATGGGGTTTCCCTGCACAAAGTATACCTGTTGAAACTGACTTAAAATTCGCCATTGACTTTGATTTGGTCTAGCTGGCGACAGAATTATTATTGGTATTGTTTTACCAAGATATGATTTACGCAAAGGGCTAACAAAACAATCGAGATTACGCGGGAAAGTGGTTTGCGAGTAATCACATAAAAGTATATGACCAGAAATACTTTCAATTACGGAGGCTTCGCCTTCATGTAAGACAGGAGTAGCTGCGACGCTTGATGATCCTGACGGTTCTGAGTGATGTTCATGATTCTCAGTGTTAAATGCAAGCGGAGTAGATAATGCACGTTGACGTCTTATTGACGGTGCTGATTCCGGTTTATGTGGATATTCAAAGTGGTCGGGCGTTCTTGACGCAACTGAGCCATATTTTTTCTTTATGCCAAAATAATCATCACCACTCTTGAATGAGTTAACAGGTACTAATGGTTGACTATCAGTTGAATTATCACTCATGGCATTTGTTGCTGTGTGACTTGTTCTATATGATTGGGCTGTTCCAACCATTCTAACCCCATCGAGTATTGAAGCATCAGAAGCGATAATAAATCCAATTTCATCTCCCTTTACTATATAATCGCCAGGATTTATAAGCACCATATAATTTTTGAAATCTTGTTGATCATCATAATGTTCACCCCAGTCACCACTCCATTCATCACTATAATTAGAATAAGAACGCTGTTTTGGAATGCCAATTGCAAATAATACCACCCCCAACGTTTCGTACATGCTTTCTATAATAATTTGAAATAGGAAATGAGTTATAAAACACTTGATACCATAAAATTTTCAAGTAGAAAACTGACCAGCAACAGAAAGAAATGAATTTCCAGAATAAAAATCCGATAATGTGGTAGTATAAATGCATTGAGATAATCCCGAAATATAATCTTCTATAGAATCTTGATCTAATCCGTGGGATGTCCTACGTTTCATGTATCTTAACTCGTGTACAGATTCACTTGTAAATGATGTAGTAAGACCGTACAAGAGAGTAGAAAATCCAGGAGTCAAGCAAGAATGTGCAAGAATGGCCAATTTTAATTCATCGATGCATATGATTTGTTCGGGATCTAAAAAAAAAAAAGGAAAATTCATTTTAGGAAAAGCTTCCACAATCGAAAAACGCGTTTATTTGACAATATTTACTCAAGCTCTCAAAGTGAATTTTATTTTCTGGAAGAATGCACTGAATATACAGTTTAGGTCCTTCGTCATATTTTCTTAATGCCTAGAAATCGATAGATAATAAATAAAATATCTTCACATGTAATACTACAAAAAACATAAATGTACCATTGCTTTCAGCACATTTTCAGCATCGATCGATTCACTTTGTTGCGAATATTTTTTGGCAAGTATAAAATATGCTGACGCATCTTTTGCCTTAACCTTTTTTAAGCTACGCGAATCGAGCGAGCTGCCACGGACGTATTGAACTCTATGAGCATACATTGGATCCGATAAAAATGTTTTCACCCGTTCATTGGGATCAACAGGATTTAAGATCACAACCTTTTTCGGGGAGAAATTTTTAGTGCGAATCGAATTTAATTATGTTATGTTCAAGTTTAATAGTATCAAACCTTAGTATTTATAGTTCCCGGCCCATGTGCCAAAGAATAAAATTCTTTTAAGAAGTGTCTTAATGAAGGCAATTCAATCGTCGGCGTTATAATAATAACGTGAGGCTGCGGAGAGATTTTTCGAAAAGCTTTGTCATATGGCGATTTGGAGCGTAATAATATTGTTAATTCCGATATGGAGTACTAAGATTATCATGAAGATTGTTATTTTCTTACTTGAAAATCAATATCATAAACATACAATATTCGAACTTGATCAATGCATACCGGAATAAATATAAGACCCATTGTAAATATTACCAACAAAAGGATTCGAGGAAAGGCCGAATCTGGCACTATATCACTTAAATACCCAACAGTTCCCAACATAATGGTTGTAAAAAAAACGGCTACAGAAAATTAAAATTAAATCTTGATTCAATAAATGAACATGGCCGACATTAGAAAATAAGGATGACCAATATTACCATCCAAAAAAGAAAGTGTCGCATCCTAAAAGGAAAAAATTTAATGCATCAATAAAAAAGGAACGTTTCCTTTGATATTTAAAAATTCATCAGTTTGCACCTTGTATACAAACTCCACGCCATATAGAAGCGCAGAACCAGTCAAGATGAGAAAGATAATCGATTCGACAAAGATCAGCACTTTACTAGTCACTTGACCTAATCTCAACACAGATTTCTCACTTCTAACAAAACAATCGCGCACCGAAAAATGGCATCGAATGAATCGAAACGGATACAGGAACACAAGTTCAGGTGAATCCTTGAAATTCGAATCACTGGCCACACTGAAGACCGGGTACACAGTCAAGAAGGTGAGAATCGGTGATAGGTGCGTGAATAATGATCGCCAGGAAGTGAAATGTGCAATATAAAATTTGGGGATATATTCCAATAGCAACAATATGGTCACCACAAATTCAAACCAAACGTGATATGATGGGAGTTCTCGCTTAAAATATGGTGTATTCGAAATGTATATCCCGCACAATAGAATATTGAGAGCAGCGTCTACCAGCTTCCATACACTTCCTAGTTCCGAGTTGTCAAGTTGTACTGCCCATTGTTCGCGTAATGACGGTTGATATAACTTGTGATAACGCGGTGTTCTGAGTGTAAAATTGGCTGAAGAGTCTGAAAGCAGAGACGGCGTACGTGTTGAGGAAGATTTAAAATTTTTGCTCGGGATTTCAAAAGAAACGTGTTGCTCTTCTTGAGATTCTGGCGTGGAAGTAACCCGTTCTCCGGATGCCATTTTTTTCGATATATATGGTAAAGGAGCTTATAAACAAAAATTTAAAAACCAGAAGAAACAAACTGTGTGCGCTCCGTATACACACACGTTTGGTCACGAGAACCGGGAAAAGAAAACTACACGCACGAAAAACCTTTTGAGGGAAAGCTTTTCGAACACCTAATGTTGCAGCCGTTTCGCATAACGGGTTATTGTTATTATGTATATTATTCTTTTTGTCTGGGAATAATTATTTTTTCTATAATAACCGTTGGACAGCGAACGGCCGTGAAACACCGGCAGCAGATAGGTTTTGATCTGTCGTAATCTCTATTAAACTTCCTGATATGGTGACAGTTAGCGATTGATGCAACCTCCACGATTACACGTGTGCATTATCAAAGATCGAATTTACATAATCTGTGGCAAATGTCGATATTATTATTTTGGGATTAGGTTTGCATATCAACAGACTCGCTGCTAGATAATTAAGTTATTAGGTGGAATTTATTTTAAATGTAAAAATTTTGAAATCTTAACTCGACAATGACATGATTTTGTTTCAAATTCTGAAAATAACCCTAACTCTTTACCCCAAATCACATGTTATATAGTCAATCAATAAAATCACGTTATCATGGTCACATGCAGCATTAGTATACTATGATACCATTAATAAATTATAATGTTAATAAGATATACTAAATTTAAATTAAAGATATATAGCCAAGTCAAAGATTATTAGCACAGTATAATATGTATCTATTTTCTTTTTTTTTCTCTTACTTATCAAAATAAAAAATAAAAATACTTTTTTATTATTTTAATTACTTCTTATTATTCTTTTAATATTTTTAGATATATATAATAGGATTTAAACTTATTTATAATCTATTTAGCAGCTTTATCTTCTAAATTCTTATCATATATATTCATATATATTTATATATCTTTATAACTTACAAGTAAATTTATAAATTATTATCATAGAGATACTAATAAAAATCTTTGAAACTTTTCTTAATAAATCTGCATAATTATAATTGCATAATTATCTGATCTTTTATTTTACAAAATTCTAATATTACTTGATAAAATTGTACTTGCAATAAAATTTTAAATATCATTCAAGAATATATTTTGTTTTAATTATTATCTTCTCTAATAATAATCATTATTTAGAAAAATTTAATTATAGAAATATAATTTATTATATATAGTAATTTATTCTTTTTGAATTATCTTTATATTTTTTGAAATATTATTTATATATCAAATAAATTTTTTTAATTGATTAAAGATTACTTTCTTTAAGTACTTATTTAATATCTTTTAATTATTTTTTTAACTTTATCACTAAATAATTAATTAAAAATATTATTAATTATATGCATATCTCTTTATATTTATTTATATATCATCTATTATACATCTTAAACTAATCTTTGTCAGAGCTCAAATTTATTCTTATTATAATTAGTATACTTTTTATTATGATATTATGATTTATTAATTAATCAAAATAAAAAATATCAATATATTTAAAATATAATATTTTAAATATTAGAGTTATCTTATTTATAAGCTGATTTAATATATATTTTATCTTTTAATACCTATCTGCTTATATTAAATAAATAATAAAAGTTTCTTTATACTTAATATATAAATTTACAAGTAATTATTTATAGATAATTATAATAATTTATAATATAAACAAAGAAAAGTTAAAATTATAATAAAATATTTTATATATTTTGAATATAAAATATTCTTCTCTTTTCTAATTCAAATTTTTCATTATTTATTATTTATATAAATATAATTTTGATATTTATTATTATAATCAAACTTGATATTTTATCTTAAAATTCTTATTATTAAGTAAACTCTCTAGTTTTATATATTTTTTTTAGTAATAAATAAGAAACTCTTCTATTTTAATAAAGTTATTTTCTTATTTTTAAATATATCTTATTATATAATTATTTTTATTTTATATACTTTATGTAATATTATTATTAATATTTATTTTATCTTTCTTTTTAATTAATAATTATATATATTATTGTAATATGAACTTTTAGTAGAATATTAGTTAATTATATTATTGATTACTTCATATCATAATATGATTGGATGAATAATTCTTTATATCTTATTGGACATTAGCTTTAGAGAATATTATTTATAGATATTTTTAGAAGGTTTCGCAAACACGATGATCATGGCAAAATTATCATAGCAAAGTTAGTAAAACTATCACAGCAAAACTAATAATGCTATCATAACAAAAC